GACCATCCCCCCTGGGGGGGTGATTTCTTGCTTTCTGTCTCTATGTCTCTCTCTGTCTGTCTGGAGAGCGCACGCGCCCTACAGTGAAAATCTCTCCAAAAAAAAAAGAAAAAAGAAAAAAGTCTGAGACATTAGTAAGAGTTAAATCCTTCCCTCTATTAAATGAGCTAGCTTTTTTTTCTTTTCTTTCTTTTTTTTTTTTTTAAGAGGGAGAGAGGGACCAACAGATGGCTTAATAGGTATGTTGCTGAGCTCCCATATGGCTGACCATGGTTCAAGTCTTGGACTCAGTGGCTTTAAAATCCTGGCGTGTGTGTGTGTGTGTGTGTGTGTGTGTGTATGTGCGCGTGCGCTGAAGATCCTGAAAGGAGATGGGAAGAAAGGGATTGCAGTGTGGCCATATCCCCTGGGGGGGGTGATTTCTCACTTTCTGTCTCTCTGTCTTTCTCTCTAATGAGTGCATGCATCCTATAGCAAAAATTCTTAGGGAAAAAGAGAGAGGAAAAAAATGGGGTTGGTTACTTTTGACAGAGTCTGGACACACCACAGTTAGTTCTCTATCCTCTCAGCTATTCAGGATCTTAGGTACACGTAGGCAAACCCAGCATGTTCAGTTTGACCCAGAAGCTGCACCAGAATCTCCCAAGTGGCCCCAGGATTGTGTAGTGATGCCCTACCACCAGCGCTACTGTAGCTGGGCCAAGTTAACCAAGTCATATCAGTTGCCATTTAGCAAGCAAGATGTTTATTATTTCTGGCTATATGTATATGGAGGCGGAGTGAGAAATACTCCCCCGGCCTCCAGGGGATGGCCATACCACAGTCCCTTCTCCATTCTCTTCTCAGAATATGGGGCCTTTGGACCAGCAGTTAGCGTAATGGCTATGTCACTGGACTCCCATGTAGTCGACCGCGGTTCATATCCCAGACCCGGTGGCTTAAAACTCACACCGGGTGCGTGTACGTGCGTGCCCAAGATCCTGAGAGGAGAATGTAGAAGAAGGAATTGCGGAGTGACCATCCCCCCTGGGGGGTGATTTCTTGCTTTCTGTCTCTCTGTCTGTCTGGCGAGCGCACACGCCCTATGAAAAAACCTCTCCAAAAAAAAAAAGGAATTTTGAGCCTACATGCACATGTGCCCAGCATGTTTTCAAGCCTTCATTTCCAGGACTCAAACTTCAGAGTCAGCCATGTGCGGCTCCACCTTCACCACCTGTTGACCCACACATGTTTTTTTTCTTTTTTAAAAAAATTATTTAATTTTTTATATTATTATTTTGTTTAGTGTAGTACACATGCATTCACCAGAGAGAGGCAGACAAAAAGAGAACGAGAAGAAAACTGAGAAAGCAAGCCACCAGTTTAAGCCACCAGGTCTGGGACTCGAACCGTGGTCGACTACATAGGAGTTCAGCAACATAGCCATTATGCCAACTGCTGGTCCCACTGTTATTCTTTTAAAAAGAACTGGATAAACAATGTGCCAGAGCTACAGAAATTCACAGGAACTTATAAGCCATAAACAAAAGTGTACCATAGAGGATAAATGGTGGCACAGCAGTAAAATGTAATGCTCCATGAGGCAGAGCTACATGGAAATGTTGCTGGTTCATGTCCTGTCCAGAGATGTCTCTGAGTATGCTAGGCATGTATGTGCCTAAGATCGAGGCTGGCTGAGGCTGGTGGGTGGATTGTGGCCTTAGGACCCTGTATGGGAGCTAGATCTCCTTCTCTCTCAGTATGAAGGGATCAGCGGGTAGCATGGAGGTTGAGGTGCTGGATCTAACACAACCAGCTCTGGGGTTCAAGTCCTGCACCCGGCGGTTTGAAATTGTGCTGAGTAGGGCTGGCAGATGGCATGGTGGTTAAAGATGCTGGACTCTCACATTGCTGATTGTGGTTCAAGTCTCAGACCTGGAGGCTTGCTTTCTCACTTTCTCTCTTTCTCTCTGACTCTGACCCTCTCTGGTCAAATTAAACAAACAAACAAGCAAACAAACAATTCTTGGAAAAAAAAAAAAAAAAGGAAAGAAAAAGAAATTCATGCTAAGCATGTGTGCATGTTGCCCAAAATCTGAGAGGAGAATGGAGGAGAAGGGATTGTAGGGTGGCCATCCAGTGGGGAACATGCCCTATAGCAAATACTAAAAAAGAAAAAGAAAAAAAGAAAGGCAAGTGTGCTAAGGTTATTTCATGTCATATTTTTTTTGGGGGGGGGGGGTTTTGGGGGTGCGGGGTCGCCCAGAAAGACAGACAGAAAGAGACACCCCCCAGTGGGGATGGCCATGCCACAATCACTTCTCCATTCTCTCTGGCACACATGCACACACGCCTAGCGTGAGTTTAAGCCACCGGGTCCTGGACTCAAACCACAGTCGGCTATATGGGAGTTCAGCGACATAGCTATTACGCTAACTGCTGGTCCCATTCATGTCATAATTTGACACTGGTGTGAGGTTTCACATCCACAATGAGGAGACAATTGGTGGTGTAATTCATTGGATTCCACCACGCCTGGTAGGCAGTACTAAAAAAGTAGAGGATTTAAAATAAAGAGGAACATCTATATGGAGACAACTGATTATAATTACAGTATATTTCCCAGAGGGAGCAGTAGTGACCTCAGCTGAAACATGACCATCTACAAGTCTGATTAAGTTTATGATGGGAATGACAACATGTGAGGCTAGTTACACCTTAAAAAAATTATTTTATCTTTATTTATTTATTTTTCCAATTTGACCGGAGAAAGATAAAAAGAGAAAGTGAGAAAGCAAGCCCTGAGCTCCAGGACTTGAACCATGGTCAGCCATATGGGAGTCCAGGACCTTTAACCACCAAGCCACCTGCCAGCCGCAAGGTTAGTTACTAGCTACACCTTATTAAGCACAGCCTTCTGATTATTTTTTAAAAGAATTATTTATTCTTTTATTGTTCTTTAGTTTGACCAGGGAGAGATACACAGAGAGAGAGAGAGCAAGAGAGAGACAAAACAAGCCACCAGGTCCAAGAGTCAAACCACAGTTAGTCATGTGGGAGCCCAGTGCTTAACCACCACGGCACTTGCCATTCCCACAGGCTTCTGATTTAAACAACTGCCTCAGATGAATAAGGAGACCTTGGGTCAAGCTGCATGAGTCCCGGACCCAGTGGCTTTAACTCACTCCAGGCGCGTGTGCATGCGTGCCCAAGATCCCAAGAGCTGAAAGGAGAAGGGATTGAAGCATGGCCATCCCCCCTGGGGGGTGATTTCTTGCTTTCTGTCTCTCTGTCCCTCTCTGTCTTTCTGGCAAGTGCATGCGCTCTATAACAAAAACCTCTCCCCTGCCCCCCCCAAAAAAAGAACAGTGCCAGCCAGGTGATACGGTGATTAAGATAACGAGATCCCACATGGCCCAACTGCGTGGTTCAAGTTCTGGACCCAGCAGCTCGAAAAATACATTGGGCACATGTATGTGCATGCTCAAAATCCCAAGAGGAGATTGGAGAAGAAGGGCTTGCACTATGGTCATCCTTCCTGGGGTGCTTTCTCATCCTCACCCCCTCTCTCTGACAAGTGCACAGTGCCCTATGTCAATTTTTTAAATTTTAATTTGACCAGCATGAGGGGTGTGGGGAGGGAAAGGGAAAGCGAGAAAGTAAGCTGCCAGGTCTAGGACTCGAACCATGGTCCGTTATGTGGGAGTTTAGTACCCTTAACCACCACACACCTACTGGGCCCATACCAAATTTTTTAAAAACATACATTTAAATTTGTTTATTTTACATCTTCATTTATAGAAGTGTCTCTACGGTAGTGGTAATAAATGTCCTTTCTCCACAGACCATGGATCTGCACTCTTGTCCGAAGCCAATTGTATTTGTGTTGCACACATTCTTGTCAGCCAAAGTCACTCGCATGGGTCTTCTTGTATGAGCACCAAAAAAATCAGAAAAGAGCCTTGACTGTCAGAAGAATTATTTCCACCTCAAAAAAATAAATAAATAAATAAAAAGGAATAAAAAGCACAAGAAAGAAAGCTCTTCGCTCTCTCCTCCAGCACAGTGCCTTCCCAAGGAC